CCTCAAACGTGCGTAACACGAGAATGAACCTCATTGGTTCTTGCTGAAGCTCAAACGTGCGTAACACGAGAATGAACCTCAAACGTGCGTAACACGAGAATGAACCTCATTGGTTCTTGCTGAAGCTCAAACGTGCGTAACACGAGAATGAACCTCAAACGTGCGTAACACGAGAATGAACCTCAAACGTGCGTAACACGAGAATGAACCTCATTGGTTCTTGCTGAAGCTCAAACGTGCGTAGCACGAGAATGAACCTCATTGGTTCTTGCTGAAGCTCAAACGTGCGTAACACGAGAATGAACCTCAAACGTGCGTAACACGAGAATGAACCTCAAACGTGCGTAACACGAGAATGAACCTCATTGGTTCTTGCTGAAGCTCAAACGTGCGTAACACGAGAATGAACCTCATTGGTTCTTGCTGAAGCTCAAACGTGCGTAACACGAGAATGAACCTCATTGGTTCTTGCTGAAGCTCAAACGTGCGTAACACGAGAATGAACCTCAAACGTGCGTAGCACGAGAATGAACCTCATTGGTTCTCACACGTCAAGCGAACATGCTTGAGTTCCATTTACCACAACTGATGTGAAAGTTGATGAATGTTTATAAGTGAATAAAAGCCTAAATTCAATCTGTTCATCATATGAAGTGATCGTGTCTCTTCAGAATTCACAATTCATATGGATTAGTTTTACGATCTCTTTATGAACTTTTTAAAGCGTCATTGTCATTTGCGTAATGTCAATGGAGGGACAGAAATCTCTCAGATTTCATTATTTTTCGGTGAACTAACCCTTTAAAGTAACAAGTGATTTGTCTTGCCTAATGTATTTACATTTTCTTTGCAAATTTGCTTAAAAAAACCTAGAAAGAACTGGAGAATGAGTCTATTATTTGCTGTGGTAATCAGCATTGTCACAAAAAAATGTAACATTGAATCTGTGACATCCCTGTTCTGTCTTACTCTCTATTGCGTTCTTTCTGTTTATCACTTGCTCTTTTATGAATTGATTTGCACGCATATAGGCTTGAGTTTGCAGCACATCTGCACTGCGTATCCAAGATAAAAACATCTTTGTGTATCAGACTTATAGTCAATAGGTTTAAAAAAGATAATGAGTGAAGATGTGGAGCAAACCGAGATATGGAGCACTATAACTCAGAAGGCTGTCTCTGGCCCAGGGCAGTTGTTTTCACAGAGACACTTCCGTTCAATCTGAGACGAAACTGCTTCATTTAAGGACATGGCAGACAGCATCTGCGAGCTCATCTGAGCTATGTAGACAGCTGACAGTGTGTGGAGGTGTGCAGTGAGGCTCGCGTAATATGAACAAGTACAAACCAGCCTCTCACATGGGACAAAAATTTGTCTCGCTTCCGCTATCACAGTAGTCTCATTCCAAACCTGCCAGCCAACTTAACTGTGTGATGCAACTGTGCTATTCATGTCTGGAGCTCCCAAAAGCATCAAGACCGTGTGCCACATTCAACCGCTTGAGTCTTACCCTACTGGGATTTATGATTTGGCACCGGCTTTAATAAGAACTACTGTTTTTAATGCTCGAATTTTGCTTTTGGATCATTCTTGATAAACGTAATTGTAAATAATTTACTTCACATTAACTTGAACTATGCGTTTTTTAGGTACTTTACACTTCAAGATAAAAGTGATGAAACTCTGGACTCAAGCCAGTGTTTTTCTGTTCTAGTCGTCTTTTTCTGTCAGTTATGGCATTGAATGAGACTCTCAGTGAGGGGGAAACGAGGTGTTGACATACTTTTTGTTTGATTCATTGTGCGTCGCAGTTGGGCGTCTGAGACCGGCAGCTTTGCTGAAGTGCCGGAGCTGGTTGATCTGGCTTCGGGCCCACACTGCATCTGTGCTGGGCCAGCATCAGCAGAGGAAGTAGAAAGGAGGTTTGTTTTCCACAGGATCTCTGTGGTGTATGGAAAACAATGCCTCTCCATTGATTCACTTTGCACTTGTGGTCACAGATTTCTCCCGTTATACATTTTTTTGTTACCCTCTTTCTCTTTCCCTTTCATGGGGTTCCATGGTTCCTTAAAGAGACAGTGCACTCTAAGAAGCTGTTTTCAACTTCTCCTTCTGGAATTTGTGCCCTGAATTTTCAATGGGTGGAGTGAGTGTGCACTGAGTGACTCATTTCAATTAATCAAATGTTTGTGTATTTAGCAGTCTGATCTGAACTGTGCAGCCTATATATATATATATATATATATGTATGTATGTATATGTATATATATACACTACTGTTCAAAAGTTTGTGGTCAGTATGATTAAAAAGATAATAATAATTAATACATTAGAATAATATTTGAAATTTCAAATAAATGCTGTTCTTTTTTACTTTGAGTCCTGGAAAAAAACAAAAAACTATATTTTTTTAACAAAAAAATATTAAGCAACTGTACAACTGTTTTCAACATTGATAATAAATGTGATGAGCAGCAAATCAGCATATTAGAATGATTTCTGAAGGATCGTGTGACACTGACTGGAGTAATGATGCTGAAAATTCAGTTTTGTATCACAGGAATAAATGACACTAAAATATATTAAAACAGTTCTTTAAAATTGTAATTATATAGTTATAAAGTAATATTTTTTTGATAAAATACAGTAAATGCAGCCTTGGTGAACATAAGAGACTTAGTTCAAAAACATTAAAGGAGTGGTTGATTATGACTTCACTTTTCTAACTTTAGTTATGTTGCTGTTTGAGCATAAACAAAGTTACAACGCTCAAAGTTCAAAGCAAAGGGAGATATTTTATTTTACAGAAATCGCTTTTTAAGGACCACAACAAACGGCTGGTAGGGACTACATTGAGCTTCTTCACGGGGTAGTGATATCACTAACCCTAAAATGTACATAAACCTTACCCCCGGAACAAGATTTATAGATTATCATGACAGAATATGCTTATCAATGACTAGAAGAAAGCTAATTCCACATCAGCTACATAAATTCATCAACTAACCATTCAGAGATGTCCTGTTGCATTCTACGTTGTCACTTCTTCTTGAGTCTCTCCATCTTTCTGACTCGGTTTGAACATAAAAGGCTAAAAGTTTTTTGAAATTTTCAGTGCGTGTGTGAGGTAATCGGAGCTGCTGACACACAAGCTCCGCCCTCTGTGCCAGCAGCTCATTTGCATTTAAAGGGACAGACACAAAACGGTGCGTTTTTGCTCACCCTCAAAAAGTGACAAATTTAACATGCTAAAAAAATATCTGTGGGGTATTTTGAGCTAAAACTTCACATACACACTCTGGGGACATCAGAGATTTATTTTACATCTTGTGAAAAGGGCATTATAGGACCCCTTTTAAAACATTTTACTGACTCCAAACTTTTGAACTGTAGTGTATGTAATGCTGTTTCTTCTAGACTCCAGGCAGCAGAGGAGAGTGAAGGTTCTGTGTGCAATAATTAATTACTTCGAATTCTCAAGGCGTGATTCATTTGAGACGTGGAGTTTGGAAACCTGATTCATTTCATCTGGTTTACATAAAAGCTTTCGGTCAAAGTGTTAATCATTTATGTCATTAGTGATGCTTGCTAATATATTCTTACGTCACCAGTGATTCAGTTAGTTATATTAATCTTTTTTAGCATAATCCAAACAGAGAAACAAAATAAGATGCATAGGAAGAAACAGGGAAAACATAGAACATCCATCATCTTTGTGTTCTTTTATTTTGCACAAATCTTTTTAAACGAACTTGTGACTTGACTTTTCCCATTTCAAATGTGATAAGACTTTACAGTTTTATTTATGTCCCCATCTTTTATATTATTTTAGTCACTGTCACTATGGTTACAGTTTATATATCCTGTTATATAATCAAGAAGCTGCTGTGTTTACAGGATATTTCGACACTCAAATTCAGATTCTTCCTAAATTATTCTCAAAACTGGCCTTGGTTAAAAAACTAATAAACTAAAGTCTATCAAGAGTTATGTTCTCCAAACATTGGAAGTACTTTTCAGCTAGAAAAACAAGGAGGAGAATTTTCATAATATAAAATTTGAATGAGCACAAATTGAAATGTCTATGTATTGTTTAATGGCCTAGTGACATTTTTATTCTGGGAAGGGTTGCTGACTGTAATGCTGTAGTAGTGTGTGTATATATATATATATATATATATATATATATATATATATAAAACCTGATTCATTTCATCTGGTTTACATAAAAGTTTTCGGTCAAAGTGTTAATCATTTATGTCATTAGTGATGCTTGCTAATATATTCTTACGTCACCAGTGATTCAGTTAGTTATATTAATCATTTTTGAATATTTATATATATATATATATATTCAGGAAGAACCTTTTTTAAGCTTTGATTTTGATGTTTATTTGTATTTGTATTTGAATGTTTAAATTTGTGGAGGCTCTGTCTGGTTTGAGCTGTGTCTTTGTGAATTGCCTTAAGGTCACTATTCTGTTATTTCTTAAAAATTCTGAAATTCTGTTATTTCTTAAAAATAGAGGGGATTTACCAAGAATAATATTATTAGGCCATATGCTAGTCATATGATTAAATAATAAATGTAATGCTATAATGACATAAATCTTTTTGTACACTGATATAAAATATCAGTATGAGGGTGCTTATATTCACCACAGTTACACCTCAGAGTAGGTTCTGTGAATCAAGAAATAATTCATTTTAATGCTTTTTAAACAGTCAATCATTTGTAAAGTAGATATTTGACAGGCAATTCATTTCAGGATCTTTTTGACGTAAAAACCTTGTGTTAATGCACGTCACAAGTGATTTGTGTTAATATATTGTCTGTTATATCAGCAGTGGTTGAATTAGCTACATTAATGCTAAAATGCTGAAAGAAATGTCTCTCTCCAAATATTTTCTTTCATTCTCTACTGTCCTAGTGCAAAATGATTGACTGCTCTTTGATCTAATTGTTCTTTCTCTCTGTTTGTGTGTTTGTGGTCGTGCAGCCAGCATGAATGAAGCAGAGGTGGACAATGCTGGAGATGGTAAGTAGTGATGCATGATCATGATTTTCGAGGGCCGATTCCGATTTATTTTACAAGCTAATTGGCCGATTCCTAAACCCCCCCCTGTTGTTTATTTGCTCTATTACATGCCTAAACAAAAACAAAAATCTGTAGCCATTTGAATGCAACAACTGCATTTCAATCATTCAAGGATTCAAGCTTTGTGAAATTATGCTACAGTACATAAAATATTCATGCACAAAACAAAAACATCTCTCTAATGGAACAGCAGCAATAATACGTTTTCTTGGTTACTGTTGTACACAAAGCAGCGCTTCGCTTATAAACACTGCATTAATAGGCATTTTATCGATGTGCCTGGTATAATCTTAAGTGTGTCCTGTCTCGTGTTAACGTCCAGTTTACAGACTTTGTAATATTTCCACACAAATTATGATTGTCAGAGAACGGTCAAAAAAAAAAAGTCCAGTTCTGATTTATGGCAGGTCGACCTATAAGTCTCCATCAAGTATTCACCCCTTTAATGACTGCATCAGCTCTCACAATATGACACCTCTCCTGTGGTTTGCTGTGCTGGGCTGATGGATGCTGTTGTAGAATAGTTGGGTGTCCCCTGCTTGCAATCCCACTCAGCCTCTCATATAGTTTACCTTAAGATACCTTAATAAATCTCCCTCATTTTTTTTTCTGTTTTCTGGTGAGTTGTAGGATGCAGATGATTTACGTTTACTTTTTTAAAATTGGTTTAGTATATTTGTAATTAAGCTGTTGAAAATATAAAATGATCTTTTAGTGACTTGAGCAACACTACTGGTGCAATGTGAATATACATACAGCAAAGGATAGTAACAGGGATTATTTGTGTTATTTATTGTGGGTCTGTTTTTTTTTTCTTCTCTTCAGTGTTCTCATTTCCTGCTGTCCCTAATGAGGACAATCTACTCGGTGTGAATAAGCCACTGCCCAAACAGTTATGGGAGGCCAAAAAGGTGAGTACATGTCATGAGGACTAGGGATGTTAAAGGGATAGTTCACTTTGAAATTAATTTTTGTTTTAGCTTACCTCAAGGGCATCCAAGATGTAGGTGTCTTTGTTTCCGCAGTAGTTTCAATTTTGATGTTTTTAGGTCAAACCGTTCTTGTCTGTCAGTCATATAATGCACTCCTATGGGGTCCCCCTCAAAGAGCATGCACAGAGAAGTCCAAATTAAACATGATTTAATGACTCATAAATGTAAGTACACATTAATGGCCTAAGACACAAAACGAGCGGTTTGTGTGAGAAAACGAACAGTATTTATATCGTTTTTACCTCTTGTAAACACAGCCACGTCCAAGTGATCTGAGGCGCGGGCGCTTCGGTCTGTGCAAGCGCCGGAAGTGTTACCTTTCACTGTGAAGATCTAAAAATATATTTAGATATACAGGAAATCGTAATGGAAGACGATTTCGATATATCAACAGACAACGTTGAATTTGTAAAAAATTTTTTGGAAGAGATCACTTCCGGCGCTTGCGCAGACCGAAGCGCCCGCGCCTCAGATCACTTGGACGTGGCTGTGGTTACAAGAGTTTAAATCCTTATTAAAGGATTTAACGGCACAATGTGTTTTTGTCTTTGTTTTTTTAATGAATGATGTGCATGCATAAATCATTTATGATAAACACTGCAACATTCAGTAAACAAATAGGAATTGTCAGTTTGTCATGTCAAATGTCATGATGACTTTTAACAAAATCTTTGTGCTGTTGATTACAGAAAATGTAGTATTGATTTGAGTATGATGCCATTTTGTCTTACTAGGTACAGTGGTACTAATTGATTATTTGTAGATGGTAGGTTGTTAAATATATCTTCTTCGGCTAGTGTGAACGTTTAATTCACATGTTGCCTGGTTGCAGGTGCAGTCTCTGTCCTCCCGGCCAAAGTCCTGTGAAGTGCCTGGAATCAAGTAAGTCAAGGGAAATTTACGTGTTTGTGTGTGTTTATTGATATTTGCTGTTCATTTAAACATCCTGAAATTGTCTGTCTCTGTTTCTCTGCAGTATATTCCCATCTCCAGAGCAGAATGCTGGTCTGTCTCACTACCAGGGCACGTTAAACACTGGCGGGTCTTTGCCTGACCTCAGTAACCTGCACTTCCCCTCTCCGTTGCCTACTCCGCTGGACCCTGACGAGGCTGGATATCCCAACCTGAGCGGAGGCAGCAGCACCGGCAACCTGCCTGCAGCCATGATGCATCTGGGCATTGGAAATTCACAAGGTCAGTTAGGTTGACTATATCCGGCATAAACAGCCACATTAATACTTGTGCTGGTTTTCACACATGCGTAATCTCATTCATGCTCTGTCTAAAGATAAAAAGAGCTTTTGTTTGTGACCAAATCGTTATTCAAGGAGTCTCATTTGCTGTTAAAGCATCTCCTGGCTTCAGAAGAGCCTGGCTGAACACTTTAGTCTTTGTTTAAGGCACACTGTAGGCTTACACTGTAGGCGCTTTCTGGGGAATGAATGCCATGTGTTTTCTAAAGGGCCACATCCATGCAGAAGACTACAGCTCTCCTCCTCTCTCGTCCCCCCTTTTTAAATCCATCCGCCATCTGATCGCTCTCTTTGACTTCCATTCTCTTGAGCTTTATTCTTTCCATTCGCTCTCATGTCTGGGAACAGGGTGTGCTGGGATGTTTCTGCTGCCCGTTTCAGCTGTGCTGCTCGCTCATTGGCTGATCCCCAGAGACACAGATGACCTTTAACCCCTGAATTGGCTGCTCATAAACGGCTCTTTTCTCTCTCGCTCTCACTGGTCCAGTAACCTGCAGACAATTGCTAGTGTCTTCTCTGAGGAGTGGACATCAGGACAAGAGCCGGCCTGCACGCAGTGACTCATAAAGCCATTATTGGTTTATCTCGGTTTCATTAAGGCAGTTCAAGAAGAACTTTTGACCTCTGAAGCTGATTATGTCTTATTTGTTGTCCTCTCAGGGCTGTCATCCTCTCTAAGCAACCCTTCCATCCAGGCGTCCCTCAACAACTCTCAGCTGCACTCATCTCTCAGCAATCCATCGCTCCACACGTCCCTACGTCTCTCCTCGCTGTCCAACCCTCCTCCAACGGGCATGGCGAGTTCACCCAGAAGGCGCCCGGCACCCATTAGTCCTCTGACGCTCTCTCCAGGGGGTGATCAGAGACGAAGCCTGAGTAAGCAGCTCTCCCCGACAATGTCGCCCTCACTCTCTCCGATCACACAGGTGAGAAAGTGCTCATTAAACTCCTCGCATAACATCTCACATTCTGCAGTGGTATCTTTTCTCAATATTCATCCAAAAGATCAGACTTCTTGTATTAAACTGTACAGGGCTCCAGACTGCATCTTGTTAGACTTCACTGGTGCGACTACACATAAATAAATAAAAAATCTTTTTAATCTTGCACTACCATTTTCTGCTGAAAGGCAAATACTTAGATGTGTGGTGATACAGCACTAACAAATGAACCATGCAGCACAGACCAATTATCTGCACGGCATGAGTGGATAGCAAAGGTTTGTTTATTGTGAGTCTTTGAATAGCGCCCTACTGATCAGTTTTGACCCTGCAAGGCATTGTAACAGATTTCTGTGTTGAATTCAAATGGATCCACTGTGCAACACTATCAAATTGATCTGGACCATGTGGCGCAGCCATTTGAATTCAACACCAGATTCTCTGCTACAAACTGTGGTGATTCCAAACGGCTTAGAGCATATAGTTATGATTCGAATTCATTATATACTCGTCTGCATGTCGTTCCAAACCCTATTGCTGTTTTTTCTGTTGTACCTTGGGCTGTGTAAAAGCATAGATTTCTTTTCTTTCTTTTTTTACATTACCGGTAATTGCAATTTTCAGTTGTAGAAGCTCCACGTTTGATTCCTAAAATCCCAAGATTAATTTTATGCTCTGTGCCACTGTTTTCTTTCAGTGTTGACTCTTTTAAACTGGTTATTTTTATGGAATCATTTAACTAGACTTTCTATACTCTTTCATGGTAGTTTATAACGGAAGTTTATAATTTATAATAATTGTAATCATTGTTATGAGTTTGCACAAGAAATGCAATCTAAAGTTTACTTGAGTTGGTATCCACAGAGCAGTTATACAAATATACACTACCATTTGGTTGTTGTTGTCGTTTTTAAAAAAAGAAGTCTCTTATGCTCTCCAAGGCTGCATTTAAGGGCCTGTTTACACCTGGTCACTTCATGTGCTTTCTGAATAGCTATCCGATTTATTAAGACATTTCCAATTAAACTTGGCCATATAAATATGTCTTAGTGGAGTTCACGTCAGCAAAAGCAACATATATGAGCATGATTTTATTATCAGTTAATTTCAAGGTCAAAGACTACAATAAGAGAGATAGCTGCATCAGGACTTGAAAGATCATTTAGTCTCACTACTTATAATGAAGATGATTTTGTGTTGAGCTTCAGGATGTGACGCCAAACTTTGAGTTTCATTTGCAGCAGTTTGCGCTTGAAGAGATACTCAGCTACTCATCTGCGGCGGGCCATTTCTGTGGCAATGTGTGCTGCAGTAGCGCTGTCATATCTGGCTACCAGGAGCCGGTAATAACATGCTCTTACACATATTTTTTTTTTTTTTTACCATCTTGGGAGAAGTAAAATTTACATGTGTGGTTTCAACAACCAGATGCATTTACACTTGTCCAGTTTCATTTGAAATGCGTCTCAAACCACCCCTTAAATTCGTTTGAGTGATCGGATTTAAATCCTGTCTCGAAAGTGTTTTGGAGGGTATTTACACCTGGTCTTTTCACAATTGGAAAGCTATCAGATCAGAGAAAACACATAAAGTGACCAGGTGTAATCAGGTGTTTTGTTATAAAAAAAAAGGGGGAAAAGCACCATAAAATGGTCAATATGACCTGTGTACTTTCAAAGTCTTCTGAAGTCATACTTTTTGTGTGATTTTGTGTGTGCAGAAAAGACTATAAAACCAGGTGTCATCTGTATAACTCAATGCCATCGCTCTCATGTTTAAAAAAAAATATATTTCTTTACTTTATTTTGTGGAGCACAACATTTTTGAAATATTGCAGCTGGTTTATTGTTCGTTTTTGCCAAGAACAGAGTGTTTCTGATGCATACCGTAGCCCAGTCAAATTATTTTAATAACTTTCCTGTTCTCTTTAGGGGGTTGCCTTGGACACCAGTAACTTACCAATGGAACCGCCCCCTCCCTACCCCCATTACCAGCAAACCCAGCAGCAACAGCCTCCCCAGTCCCATCAGTCTATTCAGCAGAGCTCCCAGCATCCAGGGGTGCAGCAGCGACAAACAGGTGGCCAACAGCAGCAACAACAGCACCAACAGCACCAGCCTGTGTCCCCGCTGCAGAACGTCCCACTCGACTTTAATTCCAGCGCTGTGAGTTCCAATTGAAATCAGCTGTTAATAGAGACAGGGCTCTAAGGGGAGAGGCTAATGTTCAGCTGTTTCACAGGCTGGTTATTTTTGGCAGAACAGGAAAACACTGAAACACATTAGGATCAGCCAAGACTGTAGAAACACTTGGTTGGCACTATTTCCGGTACTATATAATGTAAATAATGTCATTCGAATATGAGATATACAGTCCTGGGGGCCTATACCGTGATAGCCAGGTATGTTTCAGTTTAGTTTGCGCCAATCCTGGGTTTTAGGCACCATGAAAGTGGCTCAAATTTTAGATTTGTTCATCACCATAGTAACTCTCCACAGCTAACCTGCTCCGTTGCAAGTTTCTGTTTCTAGTTTGCAGCAGTTTACGCTTGAATCTCTTACCTAATCTCTTGAATCTCTTTGCACTTGATCTCTTACCTAGAACATAGTTTCAATGTTCTAGGCAAGAGATCTCAAACAGAAATTGGACCAATCAGCTGTGAGCAAAGTGACACATGTCTGATGCAAAAAAGACAATCCCCTGTTACTCTTACTCCAAATTAAAGTTCACTACATACTAAAAGATTTTTAAATAAAAAAATGTCTGGCTTTTAGCAATGATTATTTAATATAGTTATTTTATATGATTTATATTTTATTTATATAATTATTATACCCCCTAATCCATTATTATTATTGTTAAACATTTAGTTTAAATGAACATATACAGATAATATGTAATATAAATAAGATTTGGAATCGGTAGATAAGGTTTTAAAAATGACTACATGTGAGCTTGCATGTCTGAGTCTCTGTATACCTATATATATTATCAACTACATTAACTAACTTCACAACTTTCACTTGCGCTGATATAGCAAGATATTTTCTTTTTGCTGTGTAAATGCATTTATGTAATTCATATTCTTCAATCTATTGATCTTTGGCAGAAGAGAGAAAAGAATCTTGCTGATTCGCCGCGAGGTGAATCGCAGTTTCTATGTTTCAAGGCATGCGATTGGCTGTTCGCTACTGATGTCACACTTTCATGTGTACGCACTCCATGAACTCAGGTCAAAGCCTGAGTTAACCGAGAAAGTTTATGATCAGCATCATTGTACCAACACAGCCTGATTAAATTGGTTTGGTTTTGTCAATTAATCCTGTAACCCTGAGTGTTCAACTACCATCATGGTATAGGCCTCTGGTCAGAATTAATGGCACCCTTAGTAAATATGATCAAAGAAGGAGGTGAAAAATGTAATCTGCGTTGTTTATCTTTTTGATATTTAATTAAAAAAATTCTAACCTTCCATTGCAGTGAAACAATTGAAAGTGGGGGGAAAATTACATTATGAAATAAATGTTTTTCTCCAAAACACCTTGGCCACAATTATTGGCACCCCTTGAAATTCTTATGAGTAAAATATCTCTGAAGGATATTCCCATTCATATTTATATTTTTAAACACACCAGGGTGACTAGGAACATGAACTTCTTGTTTCACAGGAGTATAAATATGAGGAAACACAAAGGCCAAATTCTCTTAATCATCCATCACAATAAGTAAAACCAAAGAATATAGTTCTGATGTGCATCAAAAGATTGTTGAGCTTCACAAAATAGAAAGTGGCTGTAAGAAAATAGCTAAAGAATTGAAAATCCCCATTTTGACCATCAGGGCAATAATTAAAAAGATTCAATCAACTAAAGATGTTACGAATCTGTCTGGAAGAGGACGTGTCTATATATTGCCTTAATGCACGGTGAGGAGGAGAGTTCGAGTGGCCAAAGATCACAGATGGAGAATTGCAGAGATTAGTTGAGTATTGGGGTCAGAAAGCCTAAACAATATAAAAAAATAAAAAAAAACTACATCACCACATGTTGTTTGGGAGGGTTTCAAGAAAAATACTCCTCGCTCATCCAAAAACAAACTCCAGCAAATTCAGTTGTCAGACACGACTGGAACTTCAAAGGGGACGAAATAAATGGTCAGATGAAACTAAACAAAAAGAGCTGTCTTGCAGCAAACACGCTAGATGGGTTTGGTGCAAACAGGGATAAAAAGTACCCCATGCCCACGGTTAAATATACTGCTGGGTCTTTAATGTTGTTGTGGGCCTTTTTTTTTTTGCTGAATGTCCTGGACATCTTGTTCAGATACATGGCATTGTGGATTCTAGCAAATACCAACAGATAAAAAATCACAACCTGGCTGCCTCTGCTAGAAATCTTATAATGGGCCGTGGTTGGATCTTCCATCAGGAAAACGATCCAAAACAAAATCAACACAAAAATGTGTCACTGAGCACAAAATGAAGCTTCCGCCATGACCGTCCCAGTCCCCTGACCTGTTGAGTGGAGTGAACTGAAGAGAAAAAGCACCAACATGGATCTGGGAATCTGAAGGATCTGGAGAGATTCTGTATGGAGGAATGGTCTCTGACCTCTTGTCAATTGTTCTCCAAACTCATCAGGCATTATAGAAGAAAACTGATTATCTTGAGCTGTTATCTTGGCAAAAGGAGGTTGAAAAGGATAGGATAAAAGCCATTAATTGTGTAACGTGTTTTGGAGCTCACCCCCCATTGGAACCCGCCTATTTTCAATTATTTTACTTCAATGAAAGGTTAGATTTTTGTGAATTTTCTAAATAAAAGATTAAAAGGATTAACAATGCAGATTTATTTTCACAGGCTTCTTTGTTCATATTTTCCAAGGATGCCAATAATTCGGACCATGGCTGTATATAGTGTGGACATGTTTATAACTTCCTCTTGCTTCTGTTTGCGTGCAGCACAACAGCATGGCAGCATTCTTTAACGATCCCTTTATGGAGCTGCAATTCTCCGGACGTCAGTCCAAGTGTTCGTCCTATCAGGTAAACGTATACGATTCTGCAGTGCACTCTGTTGCTCATCTTTTGTTTTATAAACACTTACAAACATGTCGCATGTGTTTAAACCGCAGGATCAGTATAACATGTTGGAGAATGTCATGAGCTCAGTGGCTGGAGGATTTGACCCTTCCTCCAACCTCTACTGCTCCCAGGCTGCCCTCATGGGCTTGGGTGGTAGCCATGGCAACCTGCAAGACCACCATCAGATGAGGCACAACATGCTTTACTCTAATTGTGGAGGAGGAGTGCCCAACATCATCCTTACAGGTACAAGCTCTGATTCAAAAAATAAGTCTCATTCATCTCATTCATGGACTATTGTTTTTATGTAACTGGCAATAAAAGGGAAATGGGAATCAAAAAATATCCTAGTTGATTATCACTTAGTCGTCCAACAGCTGTTTAGTTTATATAAAAAAAAAAAAAAAAAAAAAAACATTTCATAGGTATACCATTCAAAAGTTTGGGGTATGTTTTATTTTTTTATTTTTAGAAAGAAGTCTTATCTTTACCAAGGCGATTTTATTTGATTAAAAATACAGTAAAATAAGTATTACTGTGAAATAATATTATTACAATTAAAAATTGTATTTGAATATATTTTAAAATGTGATTTATTACTGTGATCAGCATCATTACTCCAGTCTTCAGCGTCACATGATCCTTCAGAAATCATTCTAATATGCTGATTTACTGCTCAAGACATGTTTTTTATTCACATATCATTTTGAAAACGGCTGTGCTGTTTAATATTTTTGTGGAAACTGACTTTTATTTATTTTTTTGGATTCTGAGTATAAAGTTTAACAGAACAGAATTTATTTGAAATATATTTTTTTTGTAACAATATACATTTCTTTGTTGTCCTTGCTGAATAAAAGTATCAATGTCTTTAACAACAAAATCCTACAGACTCCAAACTTTTAAGTGGTAGTGTATATATGAAAAAAATGGTGTCTCGCTGCATTTGTTTTGAGTGTCCCGACACAAGTGTTTGAGTCTTAATGGTATGTGAAGTTCAAAATAGTGTCTTGAGACTTCTATATTGTGTACCAACATAAGAATGTGTCTTATGTAAATGCCCTAGAAGAAACGCGTCTGATTGGGGCCACGCAAACCCAAAACCAGTTAGATTACTCTGAGATTCCATTAGACTGATTAGTGGACTAGCCTTTCAGGTGATCAGCTGAAGAAAAAAAAAAAGAAGTTTTGCACATCTGTTCTTTCGCATCTCCTGTATTCACTCACGATTCTGCTCTCTCTCAGACGACTCCAATCCCAACCTGTCTAAGGACATCAGCAGTGTGTTGTCTGCAGTGCCAGAGTGTTTGGACTCAGAGGGAGGTTTTCCACTGGAGGATGAACTTCGTATCGAGCCGCTCAGTTTGGATGGACTGAGCATGCTCAGTGACCCTGATATGGTCCTCCCTGACCCCTCAGTAGAGGACAGCTTTCGAAGCGACAGACTTTAAAGAGCCACATCATGCATGTATACATGCATACAAGTCCATGGACATGATGACTAAAGCACAGAACCTATAGCACTCAGATTTCTACAAACATATAAAAAATATCTTTTTTACGTTTTCTTAAACACAAAGCGCATGCATAAACACTACATGTTGATCTAAAACGAATCATCAAGTTCGCATGAGTCACCCAGACGCCGTCTCTCAGTGGCCGCCATTGCTCAGCATGCTCCATCTGTCTCCCGAGACAACGCTCATCACTCAACAGATGTGTGAAACCAATCTGGACGCTTCACAGTTGCTTTGACCTGTAAAGACGACGAAACAAACACACATGCTTAAACACATGAACCTGCCGTGTGTCTACTCCTAGTGCCGAGTGACAATCAACACCGAAGCCATAGCAATGCCAAACCGTTGCATTGGTGGTCTAATTCAAAGCCATGCAACCAAAACAAAATGAATGTGCTTGTTTTACACAGTGCTTTTTAATGTTATCGTGTCACACCAGCTTTCAATGACATTTCGATAGCAGCAAACGGATGGGACGGTCTTGAATGTGAAGACGACAATGTGACGTGTTACGGAACAGAAGGAGTCGACAGCCGGCCTAATACCAGCCCATATTGATGCACCAAATGCTGTGATACGAGACACCAGCAGGATGGGTTGAGCCTTCAACCCCCACCGCCCCCCCTCGCAAAACAACCCAACCTTTGTTTCAATACCAGGACTAGAACAGAGTCTGGTGTCAGCCGCTCTATTGAATCGTCTGGCTCGGGCTACTGAGCAGACACATCTAAACTAACCAACAGTCTCTGGCGTCACTGGCTGAAGTTTAGAGCATGCACTATTCTAACCGCTTGATTTTGCTGTGCGTTAGGTTCGCTGACCAATCAGTGGTCACCTTGCTGGTCTGTGAGCCAAAGCAACTTGTACATGCTTCAGGCTGTCAAAACTCAGTCCGTCCTTGATAATGTGGCCAGTCCCCATCATTCAAATGATAGAAGACGAGAATTCATGAGATCTCCTCCTGCACAGTCACATACTAGAAAAAGAGGACGGAAGAGTCTAGATGATGTGTATAGAGCATTATTTTGCATATTTTTTGTATAAAAAGAAAAAACTATGAAAGAGAGCTTTGCCACATATATGCCTCACAATTTTCTGACTAGAATGTATTTTTGAAACAGAAAAAAGGGCAAACTGTTTACAAAGATTTAAGTTTAAGAACTACGAATTGTGAGTAGGCGCTGAAATTTGTATGATTTTGGTATAAATCTAAAAGAAAAAACCTTTGTATCTCGCTGACATTGATCCAGTCCATAGTTAGCTAGAAGCTTTGGCTATGCAGAACTTTAGCACAGGACTGTCTCAGATGGCTGGAACAATCTAGACCACAAAAATGAACTATTTTATGTGTATATTTACTATATCTTTGTGCTTATTTCAGATTTTATACAGACTTGTAATGCGGCTTCTAATATGTCAGTTGTATTTGTACTTGTTTATGTTCTCTCCCTTTGAACTTTTGTTGTGGATGTCTTCTTTAGTGAACGTTTGTTGTGATGGTATTTTTCACCGTTGTTCAGCATGGGCCCTCTCTCTGCAGCTCTGATCCTTGTGAGAGGTTTTTACGGGAAAAAAGACACTTTGGAATTTTAAAACGTCTTTAAGAGGTGTGTTTTGTGGACGTGGGACACATGTATCATTGTTATTGCTCGAGATTGATCTTTTGGTTTTTATTTTTTGCCGAAGATGTTATTTCCAATGACGCAAAGATATCTGCTTGATACGCTGTTAAGAGGGCATGTTATGCATGTGAGGACTTTGAAATGAATGCAGTATATTTTGTGAATGGCTAGATTCAAATGACCAAATATTTTGAAATGAAGAAAGATGTCTAAATATAGCTCAGGAATGTGTTTTTTCACCAATATCATGAGTGGTCCCCTGCCTCTTGACTGCCAGATCCGGGCAAAATGTTCCCAGATTCCCTGAGAAACTTTTATAGCAAAGATCCGGTAAGTTGAAACCCACTCTTCTATCTGTTTTGTTATCTGTGTAGCTTTCTATTCCAGTTACAGAGTTGGTAATAGAAAGCAATAGCAATGTTAAATGTGTGTGCCATGTCCACAATTGTTTTGTTTTTTTGTTTTTTTTTGCATTTGGTGTGTATTTTTGCATTCATCAAGGTCATTGTAGAGTTTTGGTCAAAACCATCTTGTTGGTCAAATCAAAAAGGTAGTCTTGACTAAAATTATTCCTTTTTTTTTTTTTGTGCATTTGTTCATTGTGGTCTAAGTAGGCAAAAAGAGAGGACGATTGACACAAGCAGAGATTTAAGGTGCGGTGACTTTCCTTAATTTGGCTGGCAAAAAGGTCTATTGTCTATTATCAATAGTGTAGAGAAGGAGCTTTCTCAACGCGGTGAATCCGTGTGACTAACTTGAACCCGTTGCAAGATCTGCATGGGGGTCTTTCGCCCTCTCGTGAAATTCCAAATCGCTTAAATTCCTATTGAAATCAAATGACTGGATTTCGACAGCCAAAAAATTACGAACAACATAAATGTGACCTCACCTTTACGAATGCCTTTATTTAGTATCGATAAATCTGGTCCCTCATGTACAAAAGGCAAAACAAGATTTGGCTTTCACCCCCTGCAACTGCAGTTTCTTTTTATTTTGTGTTATTGCTCTTTTAGATGTATTATAAACATCTATTATAAGAAGAACATGATTATGGGTGATGCAGACACACTCTGGGCTGTTGAGCATGTTACTGCATCCTGTTTCTGCAAAAAAAAAAAAAGTCTATATAACTAACATCTTTTTATCGTCTCTCTCATTCTGTCATCTTCCCAGTTAACTTTATTTTTTTTATAAATATTAACAGTGGCATCAGATTATAAAAGATGGGAGTGAAACGTTCTTCAGTGGTTTTCATTGGGTCTGATGGTTTGTTTCAGCCCCAGACGACACAAGAGTCTGTTCCCATTTCTCTCTCTCTCTCTCTCTCTCTCTCTCTCTCTCTCTCTGGGAGGAGTTCTTGTCTTCTCCTGCCTTATTCTTGCTCTTGACCACTTGCTGTCCCTCTGAGTGTACTGTGATACTTTTTTATATATATATATATTTTTTCCCCATTTCCAGGCCCTGTGCTCTAATGGCAAAAAAGGTGTTTATTGGCTTTTTTATAGTCTCCATAACAAGATATTCTGTTTATAGAAGGCTTTTTTGTTGTTGTCTTTTTGTCACCTTTTTAAAAATGTACAGTTATATTATTTAAAAAAATATTTTCTTGTCCACTAGTGTTACTTCCTTTTTTTTTGTAATATGCCATATTGAAATCTTTCTTTTTCTGACATTACAGATTTATTATACCAGTGGTTTCCAGTCCTGGTCCTGGGGACCCAGAGCACTGCACATTTTGTGTCTTCCTTATTTAACACGCCTGATTCAGATTATCAGCTCATTATCAGAGCTCCATGAGAGAAGAACAAAATGTGCAGTGCTGTGGCTCCCCAGGGCCCGGATTGAAAACCACTGTACTACACCACACGGCGTTTGGTTTGTGAAGTATGTTATAGTGCTTTCCTTTGATTTAATATAAACAAATAAAACTCTTTACTGTCTCAGACACCTGCTGTGAATTTTCTTTTCTGTGACAAACTTTCTGGTTTCAGCCATTTTCTCTTCACTTGATGTATTTTTATGCTACACCACTAGATGGAGTCAGTAAGACATTTTTGTTGTTTGTGCATACAGCACTAAAGGATATGGATGCAGAGAAATGGCTGGAAAGACTGTTCTTTTGCACATAATGATCATATATGTGTTTGTGTGTGTGTGTATGTATGTAAAAATTACTTTTCTAATATCAGCATTAAAGCATTTAAAAGCATTAAAAATGATCCAAAATACATTTTTGAAAAAATACATAACCAGCCAGTGTTCAAAACTATCTGCTTGCCTTAGCTCGATTCAAAGCGGTAAGCTTGTAATAATGTTTTTAATTCCAGTGGTACTGGTGGATTTCCGCGGGAGATTCAAGCATGTCTTTGCGTCATTACGTCACATCTGTACACATAAAGAAGGAGTCTCGGCTAGTAGGCTATTGCGTGTGAGGATGCTGGAGGTGGAGATTTATAGCCTTTTCTCACAGCACTTGATATAATTAAACTTATCAATTTGATGGGGGATCCAGAAAGGTTCAAACGACAATCACCAGTGGCAGTGACAACAGATTCACCCGCTGTAAAATGCAAAAGACTTCGGAGTAAAAAAGAGACTGCAACCGGACCCATGCGAAAACAAGGATACATATCGGAAGGACATTACATGTAGTCACGCAATGCTGACGTTGTTAACATTGAACAATTTGAGAACAAAAATTTTCACGGTTTTACGTGATATGATAAGCGATTGTTAGATTTAATCAGCGCGTTTAACCGCAATGTCAGAACCAGTACAAAAGTGGATGTTACTTACTTGTTCAGATGACAAATTATTTTTGTTGGTCATACTTCTAAAAAGAATAATCTGTGCTTCTGAATGCCAGTATCGACACCGGCGCGGTGACTGACAGCCGCACACTCTCGTCAAACATTGTGTTCATCCGCGCTGTGCCATGTCGAAGTATAATTCCACGAATAATTGCAATTGCAGATTTCGAACAGAGATGGCGACAAAGAGGAACAACTTTAAGCAATTCATTAATGATTCCTTAAAGGCATAGTTCACTCAAAGGTGAAAATTATTCAGTATTAGCGCTCTCTCGCGCTGTTCGACCCGACTGAAGAGTCGACGACGTTTTAAAGAATGTTGTAACCAAACAGATCGGGGGCCTGTACCATGAAGGTAGCTGAACAAACTCTGAGTTAAGCCTTGTTTATACTCGCCGCGTCCGCAAGAGCGCGAAGGTGCGCGCGGCAAAAATGACGTCATTGCGGTGTGGGCGGTCGTGCGCGTTGGGTGCGCAAGACACCATTTCGCCTGGCGGTGTGCACGGCACTTTTTGTAACATCGCGCGCGGCGCCGCATCCGAAGATGAACGACTTCGAGCCGAATCTGGCCGAACTGGTACGTCTGTACCACCATGTTTATGATCCTTCTATACACAGAGACATTTGCATTGATGGGCGACCATAAAATACTCTCATTTTGTGAATAGGAACACACTTGCATTAAGCACCCAGTTTGCACTTGTCTGAACTGCCTATATTTAAAAAAAAATAAGCCTACAATAGCAGAAGTAAGCCCTGCTGATGAAATTAAGGTTTAAACACTCTTCAATAAGGCTTCAGTTGTTTAACTAGTTTACATGCAGTGAACGTACAATAAACCTACTGCATTTATTACTCTTTTTATATGAATCAGCAATTAATAAACTACTAATAAACGGCAAACTACTTC